ATTTGATGGCAATTTCTTTTTGTTATGGTGATTGTTAGATGGTTATATGATTAGTCTTTTGGAGATTGTGGACATTGAATGGCACTCTCGACTGGATTAGACAATTGACTTGTATTTGGTATGGTTAGCTTTTGTGATTTGAGTCTCCTTCTTTTGTTCATATATGTAAGGAGAGATCTATTTCATATCATTATCTAATATAGGAACCACAAATGACTTGTTAATGGAGTAAATTTCCAAAAAGAAAGAGTTTTTAAACTAACTTCCTAAAGGCTGGCAATTTTTAAGTCTCTTCCCCAAGGGTGAAAAACACATTCAAGAAATGTGTTCTTCCAAATAAAAATGCAACTTTCAAATACGTTATTTTAATTTTCGTAAATTTGTTTAAATATAAAAAATTGGTTAAATAGCGTATTAAATACAAAACCTGCTAATTTCCTATAAAGAGCTGGTATCTTATAAGTAATTTCTTTTTTTTTTTTTAACTTTCACATATTTAATTTATGTTAAATACAAAACATACTAGTTTTCCTTTGGGCGCTATTTAATCAATTTTTTCCATAAAGAATTGGTATGTTTTCCATAAAGAGTTGGTACAAAACATACTACAAAACCTGTCAGTTTCCTTTAAAGAGCTGGTATCTTATGGGCAATTTTGTTTTTTTAACTTTCACATATTTAATTTATGTTAAATACAAAACATACTAGTTTTCCTTTGGGCACTATTTAATCAATTTTTTCCATAAACCTGGTACAAAACCTGCCAGTTTTCCATAAAGAGCTGGTATCTTATGGGCTATTTAACCAATTTTTCATATTTAAATAAATTTCCAAAACATAAAATAGCGTATTTGAAAGTTGCGTTTTTATTTGGAAGAACACATTCCTTGGATGCATTTTTCACCCTTTGGGAAGAGACTAAAAAATCGTCACCTTTTGGGTGATTGTTTAAAAACTCCTTTTTTTGGGAATTTACTCCTTGTTAATGCAGCCACTATATTTATTTTCTGGTATTAATTTTTTTATTATTTATGATTTTCTTATGTTTTATCAAAAAGTTAATAACTATTGTAGTTACAATTATGAAATGTTAATTTGTCGTATGTGTAATTCTTTTGTTTTAGAAGAATTGTTATATCAGGGGTAAATTTGGAATTTAATTGCATTTAATTCCGAAACACTCATCAAACCAAGCATCAGGAATTGGAATAATGCTAATTCCAATGTGTGAACCAAGCAAGATATCGGAATGAAAAGTTTTAATTCCAAAACCAGAGTCTATGATTCCAATTACAATTCCAATTCCTAAACTTGAACCAAGCACCCCCTGAGTTTCTCTTCAGCTACTGGATTAGTACCCCAAAAAAAAAAAAAAATTCATTATGGGCTTTTGGTTTTATAATTCGCCATTGCAGTATGTACCTGAAATTATGCACCTTCCCAAAAAGTCCAAATCCTTCACTCTCATGGGCTTTACCTGGGATTGTTCTAAATTTTTTTAACTTCCTTATGTGGATGCTGAACAAGTAGTAAAGTACAAATGAAGCATCTTAAGACCATAGAGGTATGGCCGTTAACAAAAGAAATTCGAAGGAACATATCATTTTGGGTATGAAATAGGGGTTTACATGAGTCTACTTAAACTAAACATGTTAATGTTCAAATTTGATTGATTAGTTTATTTGCCATACCGAACTCAAATAAGCTTTTATCATACTGAGATTGAGTATCTTGAATTTTTACATGTAAATTTTAAGTTTTACACCAATTGAGTTAGATTCCAATTGAAGTCGAAACTTTTCTGAGCAAAAAATATGATTCATATTTGGCTTGATTAGTTGGTTACTTAAATTCAAATGAGTTTTTACAGTGCCAAATTTGATTGGAATACTAAGTAGGTAATTGTGGATGATGCAATGCTTGGAATAATACTTGACCCTATTTGAAAACCTAGGCCCTATTTGACAACTCAAATCAGCACTTAAAATTAATAGATTCAGATTTTAATATATTCAGATGCATTTAATAACAAAAAATAGAACTTTTGAATTAATTAAATGACACTAAATTTTTTGGGTAAAACTTGTTCTGAAAAAATAAGTAATAAGCTATTGGGTTATCATTTAATGTGATATATACTTAAATTTATCAAATTTAGTATTTAGCAGTTCAGTAATTTAATAGATTTAGATTTCAAAGTTTAGATTTTAGTTTTCAAATTTTAGTTTTATTAAACACGCCCTTAGGAAGCATTTCTATAAATATTAACTTTCCCTTTATTAAAAGGGAAGGTAATTGTGTAATTCACAAGTTGGCAAACTTTAGCTTCAAACTTGTGAAACTTTGTGGAAGGCGTCCTTCCGTCCTTTGATTAGTTGGATTAGCCAAAGATGATATAGGAGCTGTTGCTCCAATTATGTAACTACTTTTTCCAATGGCAATACATTTCAGTTGTCATTTGCAAAAAAAAAAAAAAAAAAATCTTTCAGCTCTAATTGAGAGAGAAATAAAGTTTTATAGGATTTTACTCATTAAAACAATTATCGATAAATGGAACGCTGAACTTTGAAGCTCGATGTTTATACAGAATGAACAATCATGGTTAAACAATTCACAAATGTTTGATAGGTATCAACATGAACAGTTGCGATGGAGGTCTTATATAACTCCAGCACATCTCCTTCAATTACCTTAAAACTGTACTAACTTCTTTTCCTCATCTAGCTCCGCAATTATCTCTCCTTTGCATATCTCTGTTTTCCATCTGTAAAACAAACAACAATCCGGTAAATGAAGCGAAAGAGTATAAAGTCACATATAAATCAATTAGCATATATAGAGAGCAAGACCCCGGGGTGTGTGTTTGCGTGTGTTTGGTATTTTTAACATATGATTACAAGTAACGATGATATAACCACTAGAGTCAGCTCAGAGGTTAATGAAGAAGAGCTCTTAGAGTTTTCACCGCTGTCAGGTTCAAATTCACAAATATTGGGATAAAAACTAGTATCTGACAACATAATTTGTCTCTTGGATGGGTAAAATATATAACTACATCTTTCTAACTGTACTGATCCTTGCCTTAGCTACAGTCGCGAAGCCACACTATGCTGAGGGGGGATATATAATTGGCCCCCCTCAACTTTACAAAATTAAAAAAAAAATAGTTTTGAAACTATTAAAAATATTTATATTTTTATCATAAAAGCACCTCCTCAATTGTGAAAGGTACACGTTTTCCTCTACATTGTCTCCCTATATTATGAGAAATTTTCATTCTCCTCACATTAATTATCTTCCTTAAACAACCAATTTTTAAGACGTACTTCCTATAATACAAATGTTTTAAAGCTATTAAAACACAAAATTGTTAAGGACTTGAATAAGAAATAAATTCACAACAGAAAAAACTCACAATAAAAATATTATCTTTAATTAAATTTCTCTTTACATAATAATGACATTATCTTAGGTGTATAATATTACCCCCACTGGCTTTAGGTCCTAGCTCCGCCAAAAATTGGCCATATCTTTTAAAGGGGATAACAACATTCCTAGTCATTTCCTCACTTCTGATACTAAAACATAGATAAAATACAGTAAATTTTGGAAGAAAATACCAATGGAAATAATGACGAAATTAAATCCAAATTTTTACCGTGGGTATAGTTCCACACTTGCATGGCTCCTACAGTTCCCCAATCACCATCATGCAATTCAACACCTTGAACAATTGACGGGCTCATATCGGATATATGATGTGGTTTGTCTCTAAAGATCTCATGAAACACATCTCCATTCAACTTTATCTCGGTTTGAGAAACCTGCTAATTACCAGTTAAACTCATCTCTTCTTAGTTCTGTTAATTAACCAAGAAAGGCAGATGAAAGCAAATACTATCATTGAAAAGACTACAGGGATATATAGAGTCAATTGTCAGGGATACCATTTTAAAAAAAAAAAAAAAACAAAGAAAGAAACGTGATTGTGCAGAAATACAAGTTGGGCACTTTTAAAAGGTCACAATTTCCAAATTTGCACGCAAAAAGAATTTTAACTTTATCAAGGTTGGTGATGCATCCCTCTCGATTTTAACTTTTCAAAACATGGAAACTATAATATCTGAAACCTTAATTTAAAGATAAACCATTGATGATGATTGGTATTATCAGGCAGACAAGGGACATATTCAAGAAGTTGTACAATCACACACAATTTTAGCTACAAGATGTAGCCGACCTCTAATGTATTTGTACATCTTGCTAGTTAGCATAGTGAACATTGTCAGACATTCAAAATTGTGTTGGCTGAGCAAATGTTAGCACAAAATTGAAACATTATTTTACGTAGCACTATTAATAGATCTTTTATTGGCATTGAGCTATTACGCAGTTTGAGTCACATTTTGTACAAGCACTTAATTATAACTGAATGTGTGAAATTGACATTCAATACAAACTTTTGTCTTATATTGAATTTGAATTCTTTAACATGCAATTAATACAAAATTTCAAATTTAACTGAATTCAATTTCTCGTAAATCATATTTAGTATAAAATCCTAATTTTAACTCAAAGTGACATTCAGTATAAGCTCTTAATTTTATTTGAATTTGATTTTTCAAATGTCACTTTCAAAACAAACTATTAATTTTAAGTAAATGAGATTTCCTTATAGTCAGATGCTGTACAAACTCATAATCTTAGCTGAATTTGATCGTTAATTTGTCGAAACTTGAAGTAACGCATTTGATATATGTAACATATTTGTGCATTTGATATTTGATCAATGTTTCAAAGCAGACTTGAGTAACATATATATTTGGAGACGTACTGATTTATAAGTCAATATTCCTAGCTAGTCAATCCATTTTCAGGATCTTAATCTTTTTTTTTTTTTTTTTTTGTGTTTGCTGATTCTGTTTAGTTCAGCTAATCTTACTTGAAAGCCAAGGCACATTGAAGAAAGAAAGAAAGAAAGAAAATTATACACAAATATTACAGCACAAAAACATTTTAGGCATCAAGCCATCATTTTATTTATAAATATTCATTGTAATTAGTATATCAAACACACAATCACAGCCACAACAAATTTAATAAAGCTCTCACCAAGCTTATAACATGACATACATAACCTTAACAAGCTTTTGTTTCATACTCACACCATTCTATCTCTTATTATTATTCAACTACTGAAATAACCATGCATGTTCATGCCTTGACAAGTGAAGCATCCACGTCTTTTCCAGCATGAATCAGCCAGTGGAGGTACTTAGTTGGAGCAGGCTCATTCTCATTGATATTCTCATACTCAATTGTCCATTTGGCATAGTTGGACTGGCCTTTTGGAATAACTTGTAAGCTAGCCTTGTAGCTCTTTAATTGTTCCAAAATGTGTCCTCCAACTGCTTCTGCAGTGACAGTCTTGTTCTCTTCATCCACCGTAAGCCTTTCTTTCAGAGTCTCAACTTTTCCATCTGGGCAGTAAAATATTTATCAAATTAATCCATTATTATAGGGATATTCTACCAAATTGGTGGCAGAAAAACATGAAGTTATGATGCATATCATCTTGAAATTCCCAGGAAAATCACCATAATATCAAACTGTTCTACAGTAAATTTTAAAAAAAAAAAATCATGCAACTCTAATTTGTAACTATCAATCTTACAGAGTATAGAGTTGGTTTTTGTTACCTATTGCATAAGTCCAGAGCTTGACAGAGCCCTTAGTTTTCCAGTCACCTTGATGAACCTTAACACCATGAACTTTGTCGGAGCAAAGATTTGGAAGTTTGTGTGCTTTACCACCAAAGCTCTGGAAGAACTCATCAGGATCAGACTTAATCTTTATCTCAGCTTCTAACTTTCCAGCTAGAATTGGACTAGCCATAATTGGTTGTAGTAATGCTGAAAAATCGCTGTGCACCTTTTCCTAGTAAATGCTCTACCAACTAAACTGGCTGAACCATGATTTATAGAATCAAATTTTCATTTCACAGTAGCTTTTAGATTATTACGTAGATTAAGTCAACATTTTGTGCGAAACTGTTTAGCATAGATGGTTAATTGAGTGAATGCAAAACTTTTTGATGACAAAGCATGTTCTATTTGCAGTAACAAACTTGATAGTTTTATTAGAGAGGTAAAAAATGTCATACCATTTATTCACGTGGTAAGTAGACGAAAAAAGGATTTTTTTTTTCCAAACTTTATAATGTTTTTGGGATGATTGAAAAGGGAAATCAGAGTATGTTGACAAATTGTTTTTTTTTTTCCTTTTTTAATAGGTAGTCACGCGTATTGTTACAAGAATGGAAATGAAAAAAAATTATTTTGGCCCTTCAAATCAAGAAATTGTACATTTGTCCGCTTCATGAATGGTGAAGCACATCAGAAAGTCATCTTTTTTTTTATTCTTTTTTCTTTCTTTGTTCGATACTCAACAACACCATGGATACGCTCAGCAAAAGTCGCAAACGCCAAAATCTTGATGAAAGCAGCTCTTCAGCCATCATCATGTTGAAAATACTGCAAAACAGTAGTGAAGGGCATTGCATTCATGTATCAATAAGGCTACTTCTAAGACAAGAGAAAAGGATTTGAATATTTTCTTTTTAGCTGCACCAATCTAATTGTTTGCTAATTTTGGGCAATTGACTAGGATGATCATCTCATGCATTATCTGCATTTGATAATTGATATAGGTAATTATCTGCCAACGAATAAAACCAATTACACGGTTTAAAAAGGGAACCTAATTGGTACAAATTGAGATAGTTACGTTGACAACTACATTGTGGCATTGGAGAGAGGGTTGAATTAGATGATAAGTTAAGAGAGATTGTAAGTAAGAGGTTTAGGGTTAAAGACCTCCCACTTACAAGCCAAAAAAAAAAAGCTTCAAGGTGGCATAAAGTGACTAAAATGAAAGTTCAATTTAAAAAGTGAGAACTAATGCCATAATACAGAGTAACAACTTCAAAGTGGCGGTTGCTAATAATTGTCAACATATACATGCAATATTTATTGAAACCGAGGACCAATTGGCATGTACAGGGATAAAGATCTTACTAATCAATTGATCCATCTGATTCGATTACATTCTTTATCTTTATCTTTTTCTTTTCAGAGAATTGGAATTTTCTTGCTGTAAATCTTTTTACTGCAGCAGATATCTAGATGCTCCCCTACAAGCATATATATTAACCCTTGAACTAGCCAGTCCAGGTTTTTTGTTGGACTAGGCTTATTGTCGTTCAGTTTTTCATGGTCAATCGTACATTTGGCAAAGCTGGAGTCACCTCTGGAGATAACTTGTAACGTTGCTTTATAGTTCTTGTAGTGCTTCATACAATCTCCATCTATTGCCTCAGCAGCAGTGGTCTTGTTCTCCTCGTCAATTTTGAGCCTCTCTTTGTATACCTCAACTTTTCCATCTATATTTGCATCACAAAGAAATTCATCAGTGGCTTTTCTTAACACTGAATAATGTTTCACTCTTAATTTGTTGTTTCCTATATTATCTAGCTTTAGGCTCAATTTGCCACATTTTGGGAAAAACGAATTTAACAAGAAAATGTAATGGAGAAAAGTATCAATTATTAAAAACTATTGATGCTTCGTTACGCCAAACTAAACTACAATATAGACTCCTTATCCTTGATGTCTTTCTCATTTCGTTATGAAAATTAGATAATTGACTGAGTATGCTAACTACTTCACAAGCTAGATCGCATAAAAAAAATAAAAATTCATAAAACTTAAAGGAGTAAATGAACATTAAGATACAGTAAAGTGATGGTTTTACCTAAGTACAACAAATAAGAAGTAGGCGTGGCATTATTTTTTGTGCAAAAGGGTAAAAACTTTTATAATGAAAGTGTTACAATTCAAGAGATGAATGGTAGTATTAAAAGAAAGAGTGTAAGTGAGAGATTCCGAATTCGAAACCTCGCACTTACACTAAAAAAAAAGATAGTAATTTTAAAAGTTTAGTATTAGGTCCTCTTCTTCTTCTTCTTTTTTTTTGTGCTTATCTTTTGCCTTTACAACACTCAATAGAAAAATCTTATTATTCTACCGTCTTTACGTAAGAAGCAATAATATAGAGTCAATTTCTTTGCATCCAGTGAAAGGATAAGGAGATAAAGTCAATTGAGGAGGCTAATTACGATAATATGTCAAGCTCAATAAAAATGCCATGAAACATATGATAAGAGTTGTTGTCAAGAAATTATACAAAAAGATACTGAGGGAAGCCCAAAGCCCGTGAAAAGAATATAAAAAAATAAAAGATTGTGAATATATCAAATAAAATTGCGGTCCATGGGCACGAAATAAGTTGAGTACAAATTTTGGCATGATCGATTCATAAATTTCTGCTGAAAGATTGTCTCCTGAATTATTTGTGGACATCGATTGTGATGGCTCGGAAAACTTAGTTTCCTCTAATTCAACAAATTAGTTATATGTTGATTTATTTGATCGATTCATAGCTTGCTTTATCAGTTACCTTTGATTCAAAAGTCAGTCCAGTGTTTGCAGTACTTACTTATAAGAATGTGGTTTAATAATTTTGCAGAGTAAAATTTAGAGAGGTTTCGAGGGCTTAGTTGACGAAAAACAAATATATGGAAGGCCAAGCTAAGAATCAGGGCCTGACAGATATTATTACACTATGAGGTCTCATTTCGATTTACTCTAGCATTTATTTATTTTTTGAATAATTGAAATGGAATTCATATATATTCATTCTTAAGAAATTGTTCTGATCTTGCCCCCTTCCTACCTAGTACTGTATTATTTTTTCTTGACAAGGCGCACAAATAAGTAAGACATTTTATTTTAGTTGTCATGAATTAGGAAAAGAGCTTTTTTTCTTGAAATTCATTTTTTAATGTTTCTTGATTTTTGTTTTTTAATGTTTCTTGATTTTTTTCTCCTACCAAAAAAAAAAAAAAAAAGTATTTGTCCTTTTGGTTTCTCATATTTTTGCAACTTTTGCAGGTATGTATCAACAAATTGTAATTGGGATATATGTGTGTGTTTGTGTGTGCGTGCACGCATGTGTAAGTGTATGTATGTACATACATGTGCATATGTATATATATGTACATACATACATATATACATACATATATATATGTGTATATATATGTGTGTGTATGTATATATATATGTATACATACATCACGCACACGCATATATATATATGTGTGTGTGTGCGCGCGCGCGCTTATGTATATATATGTATGTACGTACATACGTACGTTCAACAAGGATTTTCAGCCAACTCATTGCTATGTGTACTAGCCACAAAGGTATGCCTAACAACTACCATTTAATTGTTGGATACATTAATTAATCTGAAGGACAAACCTGCAAGGCTGTTGGATCTCATTAATTAAATAAGAGCCCAGTGCACATCTTGGTCATTATGACCAGTTAATGGCAATAAGGTTGTACTCTCTCTCTTGCCGAAGAGTGGCCAAAATGCCAAATCGAAGAGGCGCCTTAATGTTTATCACTACAAACTTACAAAAATTATTTTGGGTTTCTACAGGAAAATTCTGTTGAAAGGCAAAAAGTTCAACCGACAGAAAATTGTGTGGATTATTAAATCTTAATGCACAATAACTTTTGCGAGAATCTTAAGCCTAATTAATACTCCCTCCATTCCTTATTAGATGTCCTAATCCAGTGTTTCTTTTTATCTGTCATTTTATGATATCAAGAAAGCATTTATAAACTTTTTTTCAAATTTATCCTTGTTTACCCTTTCAACTTTCTTGAATTGGAACTCTAAATAATTAAATGCAGTATTTGTAGTATTAACAATAGAAGTAGTTGAAGAGATGAAGAATTAAATTGAAATGTGTCTATTAATTAGGTATAGTTGAAGAGAGATAAAGGGTAATTTTGAGAAGTAAAATAAAACTTTTGTTGACTTTTAGAAAATAACCAACTTTCTTAATCTAAGAGAATTAGTTATTCAGGCCATCTAATAAGGAACGGAGGGAGTAACTCGTAATCCACCATAAGCCGTGAAGATTGCTGCGGCCAATGCGATAGGGAAAAAAAAAAAAAAAAAAGAAACTCGTTTTCCAGTCACCTTCGTGCACTTCAATCCTGTTAACTTTCTCATTCACAAGATCTGGGAGTTGGTGTGCTTTAGCGCCAAAGCTATGGAAGAACTCATTAGCATCAGACATCAGCCTGAATTCAGCCTCCAACTTACCTACTAATTTACTAGTCATAGTAGAGAGTTCCAAGAATTGATCAAACCGAAAAAAAGAAGAAGAAGAAGGAGAAGGAGAAGAAAAGCCCTACTAATAACCTTGAACAATACTATGTTTCATGCAACTCAGCCACTTGACTACCTGATCTATAGATGCTTCATTAATTGGTTGGCTCCCACAAGTTACAAATGTGTGGTTCTCTTTTCTTTTAGCTGCAAAATATGCGTGTAATCGTGAACATGAATGCATGTTGCAATATCTTCTCATGCAAATGATATACTGCTGCGTTTAGCCAATACTGTCACACTTGATTATTAGTTAAATTGGTAAATGCTCCACTTCTGTCTCCAACGGGGAATTCAATGGGAAATAATGATGTGGGGTATATTTCTTTTTTTAGGGGCGGGTTATACATTTTTATCTAATCCTTATCCATAGCAAGCTGAAATCAAAATTGCTCTACATTTCAATTGAAGTCCATGATAATTATTTGGACAAGTTTGATTTGTTTTGTATATGCTTAGGACAACATGCCAAGAATCGACCAAAAGCAGACTCACAGAACACTAGCGTAGCTTAAAGGACAATTTCGATTTTGGATAGGTAATGTTTTGATAGATTTTCAGCTTGCACTTTAAACTTCTATTTTAAAGTCTTTTAGTTTTATGAATACACTTTTTTTTCTGTAATCTATCTGTAATCA